TCCTCCTCCTCCTCCTCTCCTCCTCCTCCTCCTCCTCCTCCTCCTCCTCCTCCTCCTCCACCTCCTCCTCCTCATGCTCCTCTCCATCCTCCTCCTCCCTCCTCCTCTCCTCTCCTCCTCCTCTCCTCCTCCTCCTCCTCTCCTCCTCCTCCTCCCTCCTCCTCCCCTCCTCCCTCCTCCTCCTCCTCCTCCTCCCCTCCTCCTCCTCCTCCTCCTCCTCCCTCCTCCTCCTCTCCTCCTCCGCCCTCCGCCTCCTCCGCCTCATCCGCCTCCTCCTCCTCCTCCTCCATCCTCCTCCTCTCCTACGCTCCTCCTTCCTCCTCTCCTCCCCTCCTCCTCCTCCTCCTCCTCCTCCTCCTCCTCCTCCTCCTCCTCCTCCTCCTCCTCCCACGCCCAGGGGGGCCCACGTCGGAGTCTCATTGGGCTTGAAGGGCCTCGTCGGGCCAGCGAAGGTTCACAGAATCCCTCAGGGTGAATGTTCTAAGTACCTGGGTAGGGCTCGAGGCTGCCAGTTTCAGATGATGTCCCTTAGAGCGGCTTGGGGCCGAGAGCTTGCGCGACGCTCGACGGCGCCACAGCCAAGTGACTCCAGCTGCGACGTACTCTCACGCAGCTGCTAGGGCTGACCAGGAAAAAAGGGGGCGTGACGGGTGTGATGTGGGGGAGGCTCTTGGAGGTCCTTGACCGGGTCAGCCCGTGCCTTGCCTCAGCAGAGTCGGAGACGCTGAGAGGGCACACAGGACGCAGTCTGCTTGATGGCCTACAGGATTCCGAACGGCTTCCCGTGCTGTTTCTGGAACTATCCCATAAGGTCGGATCCAGGTAGGCCAGGCAGGCAGGGCAGGAGTTTGCGCAATCTTCTGTTCTGAGAGTGCTGGCGGCTCACGCAGAAGACAGATTCCCTCGGGGGTCGTCTGTGGGTCTCTTGTTTGGGCTGCGGGCGCCAAGGTTGGAGGCGAGACCCTCTGATGTTGGCCACAGTGGACTCGGTTCGCCAGTATTGTGAGGTCCTCAGCGAAGGACAGCTTTCTAGGGATGATGTGCTGGAGGCTCTCGTGATAGCTGCCAACAAGGATGCGGCGACAGTCCGACCACGGGTGACCCTGTGGCGGCGGCCGTGATCACTGCCCAGCGTGTAGGCTGGGAGTTAAAGATGCTGGGACGGCGGTGGTCGATCGGGGGGTGGAATGGGACCTTCGATGTTTCTCGCCTGCGTGCACCGCGTCTCAGACCTTGTTCGTGGCTCGAAGGGCCTCGTATACCAGGGCTGTCAGGCTGCAGGATGAGGCGTGGGCCACGAGCCAGGTAGAAAAGGGCTCGATGTTTCACAGATGCTATGCATGCCCTGGTCATGAGCAGTTTCGGAGAGACTGCATGCCAAGGGAGCTGTCCAGGTCTGTCGCAAGAATCAAGGATAGCCATCCAGCTTGGAAGGAAAGGTTCGCGCGAGGTTTGTTTCCTGTTCCTAGCCTGTGTGTGTTTCGATCACCTTTCGATCCGAGCTGGAGGTGCTGGGTCTCGGGATCCCTCCAGCTGCCCTACCTCCTGGAAGGAGGGCTTGCTTTCACGGATGGCTCGGGACTGGATCAACATCACCCGACCCTGAGGGTAGCGGGTTGGAGTGTTGTAGTCCACGATAGGGAGAGGCGCTATGTCGACGCCATGTTCGGAGCTGTGCCACCTGAGTTCGGAATCACGGGCACGGCCCGAGATGGAGAAGATGTTGTGATGCTCGGGTGTTCCCAGAGCCTTTTCTGGTTGTATTCTGTCAGGGGCCGATTGCAAAGGTACACTGAGATGCTGTCAAGCGCCCCGTATGTCCACGTTTCCATGCAACCCGCGAGCCCACCTGCGGCGGCGGGTGCACTTGCGAGAAGATGTTTGTGCTCGGCCCTTCGAGCACGTCGAGGCCCGCACGGCGGCCTCTGCTGTGAAGCGTGATCAGATCCCGGCGTTCGACAGAGACGGCAACAGTGCTGCAGACAGTTCCGCGAATCAAGGGGCGGCCCTGGCGAGAGCCGCCACGGCAGAGGTCGAGCTTGTCGAAGGGTGCCAGTTGATTGCGAGGCTCGTGGCAAAGTTTTCGGCCCCGTTGTCGGCATCCATGGCCACGGCGGGCACCCGTGACAACGTGGGAGTCGACTGCCTCCATGCGGGGGATCCTCCAGGGCCCGCCTCGGAAGACCCAGCATGGCCTCGGGGCAAGGGTGTCCAGCCCTGGCGAGTGAACGGTCACTGTATTGTTCAAAGCTCTGTGTCAGACGACGTTCCAATAACTGATTGCCCGTCGTGCTGCCAGTCTGCGACCACCCCCATCACTGCAGGGGGCCCAAAAAGATCTCGGGGGGGTCGGCATCAATTCGGTGCTGCTCGCTTTGGGCCTCAGCTCCCGAGAGGAGGCCGAGGTGCTTGGTCCACAGGTGCTCCTGGACCGAGCTTCTGCCCAGGCCAGGGAGGCGGCTGCCGCAGACTCCGAGGCCGAAGGGTAAGCTTCTGGGGGGTGGGGGGCCATGTCGGCTGGGCCCGTCCGAGGTGGGTCGCAGCCTCGGGCGGGAACAAAAAGTTCTCGTCTGATGGGCCCCCCACCCCAATGTTCCCCTCTCTCCCCTTTGACTCTCCCTCTATGGGCGGTGAACCTCCTCCTCCTCCTCCTCCTCGTCCTCCTCCTCCTCCTCATCTCGTCCTCTCGTCCTCTCGTCCTCTCGTCCTCCTCCTCCTCCTCTCCGCGCTCATCCTCCTCCTCCTCCTCCTCCTCCTCCTCCTCCTCCTCCTCCTCCTCCTCCTCCTACTCCTCCTCCTCCTCCTCCTCCTCCTCCTCCTCCTCCCTCCTCCCCGCCCGCGCGGCCACCGCGCGCGGCGCACGCCTGGGTCGGAGGTCGCTGGGAGGGGGGCTGGGCTGCTTCCAAGGCCGGACCCCAATACAAGGGAGGCCAGTCCACGAGAAGCCTTCCACGAGAAGCCCAACCCAGAGACCCCAGAGGGCGTCTACCGATGTTTGAGGTGGGCACGGCACGCTCTCCGTGGCAAGACAGTGGACGCCCCAGAAACCCAGGGCGCCCTGGAGGCCAGCAGGGTGTTTCTAGGCAGGGGTCTCCACTGTACTGGAGAGCAGGAAATAACGCCCTCAGAATAAGCACCCCCGAAAGCGAAGCCGTGTAGCAAACGCACCCGAGGCGGGGATCGAACAGGGCAGGCCGTTAGAAAACACCGATGATAGGGGGTCGGGGTGATTGTCCTCCCTTGAAATACCCTCGGCCAGATCCGTCGCCCTTGAAGCACAGACCGCGTCCGCTGCTGGCAGTCGAGGTGCCGATGCCGACAGTGCAGCTCGTGCTCACAGCTGCGAGATGCGCGCACGTGCTGCACGAAGGCAGAGCCACGATCCGCTCCCGACATGGCTGAGGCCGCTCTGACGAACTCGCCGTCAGCGTCGCAGTCTGCGTACTGATACGGCTGGGCGCACGTACCTGGAGGCCCCCTAAATTGGGGTCGGAGTAGGGGTCGGAGGATCGCGCCGCATCGCCGATGCATCGTCGATGTCGGCGATGCATCGGCGACGTCGACGCGAAGCAAATCGGGCCGCACATCGGGCCGCATCGGCGATGCATCGGCGATGCAGCGCGGTCCTCCGACCCCATTCACTCCGACCCCATCGAGGTGGCCTAGAGTGATTACCCCTTTTCGAATGCTGGTAAAGTGTACGGGCGTTGTTTCCAGACAATGCTCATGGATTCGGTCCTCTTACAAGCGGCAGGTCGTGCTCCTTGCAGCGGTGACGAGCTCGCTTTCCAGCATCGCCCGCAAATGACAGCATCAGAGCACCGGGCAAGCGCCGTTCACGAATGTGGCCCGATGTTCACGAATCTGGTATGTCCTCGACTCACTCATCTCTTCCTCAGCACGGAACCTTCCCAGGACGAATCCATGACTTTCCGTTAACACTTCAGGACTCCCGGGACGACTCTTGAGACCCCACGGGATACCAAAAACAGCGCCCCCGTGGCGAACCGTGAGCCCTGTCAAAATGCTTCCTCGCAGGCACCTCGCAGAATCCCCCAATGGTGCTTCAACCATATCTCGCGCTCCCGCATCCTCATTCGAAGTTCGGCGGCGACGATAAGGGCGAATAGCCCAGGGGCGGGCATTACACGCATTCGCCCGGGAGCCTCTTCGAAGACATAGATCATCGGCGCACCTGCATACATGTATTGCGCTCCCCTGGACTGTTCGCCCCAATCTAGGGGAACAAAAAGAGGCATAAACATAAAAACTCCGAGGTCCGCGCGGATTTCTCGGATCGGCGCTGGGGCCCCCCGGCGGCGCCTCCGGCGCCGCCCCTGGCGCGCTCCGCGCGCCAGGGAGGAGGGTCCAGCGCCGATCCGAGAAAGCCGCGCGAACCTCCGAGTTGTTATGCTTATGTCCCTTTTTGCTCCCCTGCTATCGTCGCCCCTGAGAGAAGCCGGCAGACGCATCAACGGGAAATTCGGCTGCCAGCGCACGGCAGGCTTCCGGCGGCACGGGACCCATCCCCCTGGCGCGCGGAGCCGCGCCGCCCTCCGGGGCGGGGGACGGGACCAGGAGCAGACGGACGTGCGCCGCGCGCGGGCGTCAGCGGTTTCTGCTGGTGTGCTCCTCTGGCCCCCAGTGAAAGCAAAGAGGGGTGTGAAGACAAGGTGGCGAAGGTACGTGTCTCTTCACGCTCGGTCGTCGTTCCGCACATGTCGCTGCGCGGCACCACCCCAGTCGTGCTCGCAAAATCAGCCACGCGAGAGCAAGATGGCGAGGACGAGGAGGCCGAGGCGAAGCAGAGGACGGAGGGGAAGGAGCCAAAGGCGGAGGTGGTGGAGGCCAGGGAGGAAGATGGAGAAGAGACGCAAGAAAAACAAAGATGATAGACACAATCACGAACGCAAACCGCCTCGAAGTGCCAGCATTGCCCATACTCCTAATCCCCTTCCTGCCAGCGCGGACCCTGCAGGGAGCGCGCACACGGAAGAGGCGCCTGAAACGAAAGATCAACAGACAATCGTCGTATCGATCCATTCTCTTAGTTCTACGTGTACGCGTTGTCCAAATAGTCCTCCGCCAAGAGTGGGATGGGCCAGGAGGAGAAAGGAGGGGGGAGGAGGGAGGCGGCCAGAGACTGCACGAAATGATCGGAACCTGTGCGAACATGGGCTGGCGCAGTCCTAACACGCAAGTAAGCAGTACAGGTTGGGCACAAACTCACAGCCCATGGGGCATTTGGCTCTCAAAGAAGTGCTACCCGCAAAGTGCTACCCGCAACAAAATCTGGCTCTTGTGGACGTATGAACAGGGCGCTACAGACGGGAGTGGATTGCAACAGCGCTGATGCATCCTAAGTCTGCTCTACTCATCACGCCCCACTTCCTCGAGGGCCCATTTTCCCGTTACCCGCCTCCTCCTCCCGCCTCATTGTTGCCACCCCTCCACTCCGAACGCCATTCGCCCCCCACCCACCACCATCCGCTCAGCTACCACCCACCATCCACCGATCACCGCGCGCCATCCACCACTGGCCACGCATCCACCGCTCATCCACTACCGCGCGCAATCGACCACCCGCCACCAAAGCCCACACATCCAACACCCCGCCGCCCGTCCACCACCGCATAGCCGTGCATCCGTTCGACCGGTGACCACCCGCATCCGCCGCTGCGCCAGGGAGACGGCGACGACAACGAGGACGACGACGACGACGACGACGACGACGACGACGACGATGATGATGATGATGATCATGATGATGCTGATGATGAGGATGATGACGATGATGATGAGGATGAGGATGAGGATGGCTGTCGACGACGACGACAACGACGACGATGACGATGATAACGATGACGATGGCGATGACGATGACGATGGTAATGATGACGATTGGGATGACGACGATGGTGATGATGAGGATGAGAAGGAAAATGATGATGGTGATGAACATCATAATGATGCTGCCAATGATGAAGGTGATGGTGACGATGACGATGAGGCAAAGGATGATGATCAATATGATGATCGTGATGGTGGATGTGATGGTGATGATGACGGCGATGGTAATGGCGGTGGTGGTGATGTTGATGACGATGGTGATGGTGGTGAGATTGATGAGGGTGGTGATGATGCTGATGATGAAGAGGAGGCGAAGGAGGAGGAGGAAGAGGAAGTCGATGAACATACTTTTGAGAGTCGCAGCTTGGGCCAAGTCGCAGGGCGTCATTCGGTCCAGCGGGCGCGCGCAGACGCGCGCCGGGGAGTGGGGAGGAGGAGGATGAGGGGAGGGGGAGGAGCAGGATGAGGGAAGGCAGGGAAAGAGGAGGACGGACGAGGAGGGGGTGGGCAAGCGGAGGAGGAGGAGGGGAAGATGAGGACAGCGGAGGTGGAGGGGAGAGGGACCTAGGGAAGCGGAAGCTGTGCGCCACCGCCAGCCAGGGCCGGGCCCCTCCTGGGCTGGCGACTGGTGAATGGGCCCTTCTGGCCTCTGGCTTCCTCCTCCTCCTCCTCCTCCTCCTCCTCCTCCTCCTCCTCCTGCTCCTGCTCCTCCTCCTCCTCCTCCTCCTCCTCCTCCCCCTCCCCCTCCCCCTCCTCCTCCTCCTCCTCCGGCCAGGAAGGTCTACATGCCAGCCCAGGGCCCAGGATGGGCCTGGCCAGGGCCGACAGTGGCATGTGGCTTCTGCTCTCCGAAGCGCAGGGCGGAAGGGGGACCGGGAGAGGGAAATCGGAGCCGAGCTCCGTTGGCAGTGCGAGACGAGGAGGACGGAGGAGGCGGGGGAGGAGAGGGAGGGAAAAAGCAGAAGGGCGAGAGGAGAGGAGGGACCAGGGGGGAGCAGTCACTTCGTGGCGCACTGCACGACAGGAACACCAGAGGCCGCGCCGCCACTGCTGCTGCTGCTGCTGTTGCTGCTGCTGTTGCTGTTGCTGTTGCTGTTGCTGTTGCTGCTCTCAGTCCGCTCTTCGACAGGGTGGTGGAAAGGGGAGCCCTCCTCGTCCTCCACCCATCCCTCCTCCCCCCTTTTCACTATCCTCCTCGGCCTTCCAACGCTTGACGGAAAGAGAGGTAGGGAATCAGTAGCGGGCCCCGAGAACCAAACGTTCTGCCACTGCCGTTACTCCACCTCCACTGCTCATGAGAGCTTCGCAGCGCCGAAGAGGCCGAAGAGGACGAGAATCGCCAGCTTTCCCTAGGATAGGCGCGGGGATCCCGACACGGGCACGTCCATCAACCTTCAGCCCCACACACCGCACCGACACGCAGGCGCGCGCAGACATCTTCCCCTCTTGCCAGATTCTCCCTCCGGTCGCCTGTGGATCAGGATGCATACGTTTCTGGCGCGTCCCAGGGCGAGCGTCCTGTGCTTTCTCTTGACCCCTTTGCAGAGGATCGCGTCTTGAACTCGCGCACATTCACCGACTTGATCCTGGGGCACCGGCAGAACGCAGCGGAGCGAGCGTCCAGCGAATCAGAGCGAGATCGGGGAGGGGCGTGGATGATAGTAAGCCAGGTCAGTGCAACATTGCCCACTGCCTCCCCTCGCGCTCGCATGTCCCCCCAACCCCCGCAGGAGGGACAAGTGAGAACGAAGGGGGATGAGGGAAGAGTAAAAGGAGCAACAGGGCTAACATAACCCCTTCAGGAGACCATGAACCATACAACAGAAAGAGTACCAATCATAAACGTCGCCTCATTGGATTCCTCCTCTTCCTCCTCCTCGTTCTCCTCCTCCTCCTCCTGCTCCTCCTCCTCCGCCTCCTCATCCTCCCTTCCACCTCATCCGCCTCCTGATGGTCCTCCCTCCTCCCACTTCTTCTCCTCCTCCTCCTCCTCCTCCTCCTCCTCCTCCTCCTCCTCCTCCTCCTCCTCCTCCTCCTCCTCCTGCTCCTCCTGCTCCAAAGCCTCCGCCTCCTCCTCCTCCTCATCATCCTCCTCATCCTCCGCCTCCGCCTCCTCGTCCTCATCCTCATCCCCACCCTCCGCCCTCAAAGTCGACCCCTGGGCCTGTCCTGGAGCGCGTTCTGGCCAGGAGTTCTGCGTGAATCCCGTCGTGGCGACAAACCCTGGCCCAGGGAGGCACGGAACGCGCAGAAGGCGTCCAGACCTCCCGCGCCCTCCAGTGGAGGGAGGACGACGAGGGAGACGTGCCGGGCACTCCCCCTGCGCACATGACTGCTCGCGGAAGGCGGTGACTCCATCCAAGAACGAGCACTGTCAACGTGTGGCCGAACAGGGGAGGAGGAGGAGGAGGAGGAGGAGGAGGAGGAGGAGGAGGAGGAGGACAGGGACGAGGACGAGATCGAGGAAGAGGAAGCACGAGGACGAGGACGTCAAAAAAAAACGAGGTCCAGGCCGCGCTGGATGGGCGATAGGCCCGAGATGGCGAGCCCGCACTTTCCTGGGCCTGGCGGGCTAGCAGGCCCCTATGGGCGATCAATGGGCGAGGGGGGGGGTCGAGGCACTCCCCCCCTGAGCCTGTCGACCCCCCCCTCCCCTCCCCCAGACGTTGCCCCTGAGAGGGGACACGGGCACCCGTCCTGGAGGACGTGCGGAGGCCGCACTGGATCTCCGTGCGCAGCGTGCTCGCGTCGAAGCTCGGCGGCGTGACCTCGCCCCCGAGCGCAAAGAGGGGGAGCGCAGGCGAGGGGGAGGGGGGAGGAGGGGGGGGGGGAGGGTGAGGGGAAGAGGGGGGAGGGAGGGAAGGGCAGTGGCGGGAGGAAGGGAAGGGCAGGGGAGGGAGAGGAGAGGAAGGAGGAGGGAGGAGGGGAGAGGGGAGGAGGGAAGGGAAGAGGGGAGCGGAGTGGAGAGGAGGGAAGGAGCGGAGGGCAGAAAGGAGGAGAGAGGGAGGGAGAGAGAGGAGGCCGCACGACGCAGGAAGGAGGGGAGGAGGAGGAGGAGGAGGAGGAGGAGGAGGAGGAGGAGGAGGAGCAAGAGGAGGAGGAGGAGGAGGAGGAGGAGGAGGAGCAGGAGGAGGAGGAGGAGGAGGAGGAGGGGAGGAGGAGGAGGAGGAAGGGAGGGAGGGAGGGAGGGAGGAGGGCGTTTCCTGCCCATGCCCATGCTCAAGCCGCAAGAGAGAGGGAGGAGGGAAAGGGAGCAGGAGGAGGGAACAGGAATGGAAGCGGTGCACCGGCGTGCCCGCCGTTCCGCTTCGCGGCCAGAGGCACACAGTAGGCGGCCTTCCTCTGCTGGAAGGGGCCTGAGCCCAACCCCGCCGGCTCTGGCCATCCTCTGAGCCTGGCCACGCCGTTTGATGGTGAGTATTCGGCTCAAGCGTCAGCGCCCATTGTACCACGAACGGGGCGTCTGGAATATTACCACAGTTTTGTGGGCATAACAGGTGTCACCAAATTTGCGCGCCCTAGTGGTTTGAATTTCCACTACCAGCGGCGAGCGGTCATTCTACGAGACACGCGCAGGCCAGGAGGCAAGAAGCTCGCCTTCGCCAAGATCGCGAGCACGGCCCGCACCCTGAAAAACGAACGCAGCGCCGAGGACGGCGCCCGGCGCGCGTGCAAGCGGTTCAGCACGAGGAAGGGCCGCGCCTCCTCTAAGCACGGCCGTCGCGGTAGGAAGCCGTGGAAGGTGACGAAAGACATCGGAGATGCCCTCGGCGGGCGCCCGATGCAACTGCGGAGGCAGACGGCGCGCACGACGGCAACTTTGCAGGCGGAGTTGCACAGGGGGGCGCATGTCAGGATGAGCGCGAAGGGACACGCGCGCACCTAAAGCGCAGAGGCTTCAAGAGGAAGCTCTGGTCTCAGAAGCCATTTCACAAAGCCGAGCAGCGGGCCAAGAGGAAAGCCCTCGCGGCACCGGAGTTGGCAGGTGCCGACGATAACCCGGGCCAGGTCCCGAAATCCCGCGCCGTTCCCCTCTGGGAGGCGATCTCAGCAGAGGGGTTCCATGGAATTACCTGCCACGAAAACTAGAAGCTGAAAAGAAATGAGTGGCTGCGCCAAGTGAAGGCCGGGAAGCTGTTCGCGGCCGCGAAGAAGTTGCTGCCCGGGAAGCACGAGGGCCCACGGCGGCTGCTTCATGCGCGGCAAAGAGTGCAACAAGGAGCACAGGAAGAGGAAGCTCCAGCTGCTCAACATCCCCGCGAGGTCCCCCGAGTCCAACCCCATCGAGTCCTTCTGGGGCTGGCTGCGCGAGGCGATGCGCCGCAGGGGCCTTGAGGAGCTGAGGAACAAAAGGCCCGCTTCGGGCAGAAGGCGCAGACTGTCGCCAAGCGGAAGCTTCAGAACTTTAAGAACGTGCGCAAAGTCGTTCGCCAAAGGAGGGGTGCGCACTCGGGCTTCTGACGCGCGCTGACCGTTGGCCATGGGACCAACTTGTCCCACTGCCGAGCTGAAGTGCCATCCCTGTCGCGCGGAAGTTAAAAATCGACGCATCGGCCCAGTGAAAGTTCCTTGAAGATTCGTCATATCGCTCGCTCGCAGAAGCCGATGGAAGTAAAACGAAGCGGAAGACGGCGGAAGGCCGTGGGGCGGCTTGCGGAAGACAGCGGGAATAAATGACGCCCCGTCCAAACAAAGTAACTAAGCCCACCCAGCAAAAATCAGTTAACTAAATATCCTGGGTCTTTCACGGATCCCGCCATGCTGGGATCGGCTCGAAATAAAACGTGGTTCCGAAGTTGCAGCATTCATGGCATGTGAAGGATCGTCTTGAGGTCATTTTGAGATCATCTCTCGGTCATGCTTGGACCGCGCAGCCGTCGCGCGTTCATTATGGGGCCACCCTGGGCGCGCGTGGATCCACCTTGTTGCCATCGGGCCATCTCGGCGTCACTCGTGGCTCACTTCGGCCTGAAACGGTCCAGAATCCATGGCGGGATCGCGCTGGGGTGGCGTCATCCCAGGGTCGTCTGGACGCTACCGCCTGTGGCGTAAGGCCCTCGTGGAACCATTGTGTGGCCATGGGGGCGTCTTGGGATCACGCGCGCGCCAGCGCTGAGCACGCGCGCGCGACAACCTATCTCGCCGATGGGCGCACACACACGTAGACATCTCGTTGCGAGCTTCCACAGAAACTGTTGTTGATGCCAAAGATTCGTCTTCGATCGTAGCCCCCGTGGGGGTGTGTCTTCCCTACCTGCCGCGCGTATTCGGCGCAGCCCCTGAACACGGGAAAAGATGATGAGTGGAAAGGGGAGGGAGAAGGATGGAACACGGAAGAGATTGGCAGGAGGGGGGCTAGGACCAGAAGACACGCGGCAGAACAAGACGGACAGATTGGGCGGGTCGGGAAGGCGGGCCCAGGCGGCCAGGTCGAGCAGGCGGGTTGCCGAAGCGTGAGAATGAATCGCGAGGAAGTCTCAAGCGATAGCTCCGTTCCCAAGTGATTCATGGGAAAGGCTAGAGCGACAGAGTTATTCCTAAGGGTTGGAGGCGCGACGCTTGAATATGGTGCGAGGAAGTCCCACGCGAGAGCGCGATCCCTCAATAAATTATGAGATGCCACGCGCGAGAAAGCGTATTCGAAATAAACTGTGAGGAAGATCAGGCGGGAGCCGTCGCTATTGTTGTTACTCGGGGGCAAGGGGCCCAAGTTGCTAACCCCTCGCTATCCCATGCAAAATACAAGGTGCGAACACCTTATTCAAGACCAATTTAACTGAAAAACGCAACGTGCCCCAGAGGGGGCTCAACAATAATTGTACATTCGAAAAGAAGCATCCTACAGCAGCAAAAAAAAACAACAACAACAACAACAACAACAACAACAACAACAACAACAACAACAACCACAACCACAACCACAACAACAACAACAACAACAACAACAACAGACATACCTTAAAAACACACATATAACAACAACAACAACAACAACAACAACAACAACAACAACAACAACAACAACAACAACAACATCAACAACAACAACAACAACAACAACAACAACAACAACAACAACAACAACAACAACAACAACAACATCAACAACAACAACAACAACAATCAGTTTAAGACTGCTCGCCGTTATCTGCTCGAGTTTCCAATAACGCCTATTTCCCAAACCCTCGATACCCGCCCTTTTCGTCTTCGATCGAACCCCTTTTGGGGGGTATACCTTTCTTCCCTGCAGGCCGGGCCCCGGCTAGCGGCGGGGCGGCCGCGGACCGTCGGCCTGGCCAGCGGCAGCGTTGATCGGCCGGGCAGCCGCGGACCGTCGACCCGACCCGAAGAGGGACGGACAGGGGACCGACCACGACGACGACGACGACGACGACGACGACGACGTCGACGACGACGGCGACGACGACGACGACGACGACGACGACGACGACGACAACGGCGACGACGACGACGAGCGAAAGCGAAGGCGAAAGAGAACGACAGCAGGGCCACAAGGACACGAAGTAGGCCACGAAGGGCGACAGCGGGGACACGAAGGGAATGCGTATGGGGCCACGAAGAGCGCGAACGAGCGGGGGTCACGAAGGGCAGATAATGCGGGGCCACAGAAGGCAACGATGGGGCCACTGAGGGTAGCAACTGGGCCACGTAGGACAGATGCGTATGGGGCCACCACGGGGGCGAACGAGCGGGGGCCACGAAGGGCATACATATATAGGGCCACGAAGGGCAGCGAGGGGGCCACGAAGGGATGCAACGGAGCCACGAAGGGCAGCGAGGGGGCCACGAAGGGCTGCAACGGGGCCACGAAGGGCTGCGACAGGGCCACGAAGGGCAGCGAGGGGGCCACGAAGGGCTGCAATGGGGCCACGAAACAAAGCGAGGGGGCCACGAAGGACTGCAACGGGTCAACGAAGGGCAGCGAGGAGGCCACGAGGAGCTGCAACGGGGCCACGAAGGGCAGCGAGGTGGCCACGAAGGGCTGCAACGGGGTCATGAAACAAAGCGAGGGGGCCACGAGGGGCTGCAACGGGGCCACGAAGGGCAGCGAGATCCCGATTCCTGTGTAATCTGTGAGGGAGTCCCAAGCGTGAACGCGACTCCTGGGTGCCTGGGTGTCGGGAGCGCGGCGCTTGAGTAAATTGCCAGAAATTCCAACGCAAGGGCGCTATTCTTCAGTAAGTTGCAAGCAAGTCTCCAGCGAGAGCGCGACTCCAGAGCGCCGGGAGAATAAATTCTAAAGAAGTCCTAAGCGAGAGCGCGATTCCCGAATTAAACGCGAGGAAGTCTCGGGCGGGAGCGGGGGTCCTGGCTAAATTGTGAGGAAGTCAGGAAGTCTCAGGCGGGAGCCGCTGTTGTTGTAAACTGGGGGCCAACGACACAGTTTGACCCTCAAGACTTTCCCTGGTGAAAAACAGGGTGCGAGCCCCGGGAAAGGTACTTCAATCTAAAAAAACAATGTGCACCGGACAGGGGGGATCAACAGTAATTATTCTTCAGAAATGAGAGTTTAACAACAACAACAACAACAACAACAACAACAACCACCACCACCACCACCACCACCACCACCACAACAACAACAACAAAAACAACAACAACAACAACAACAACAACAACAACAACAACAACAATCACTTTACCCGAACGCTCAGTGTTCTCACCAGTGCAAGGGTTTCAGCGACGCAGCCAATACCCCCACTGGGTGGGGGTGGCAGGCAAGCTCCTCCACCTTATCCACACGATC